ATGAGACAAAGTATATGTGAACTGCTGTATGAAAAGTGAATTTACTCTGTAAATCTTCACCCAAATCCTAATAAAAAAATTTAAAAAAAGATCGGAAAAAAAAAAAGTTGGAATTAGAAATACCATTTGACACAGCCATTCCATAACTAGGTATATAACCTAAAGAAGTGAGAGCCATGATAAGAACAGACAAATGCACTCCCATGTTCACTGCAGCACTATTTACAATAGTCAAAAGATGGAAACAACCTAGGTGTCCATCAACTGAGGAATGGATAACCAAATTATGGTACATACACACAATAGAATACTAAGCAACCCTAAAGAATAACGTAGAATCTGCAAAATACTACATAACATGGATGAACTTGGAGGACATTATGCTGAGTGAAATAAGAATCACAGAAGGACAAATATGTATTAGTTTGTTATTATAAAAGTCAAGGAAAGGTTTATCTATGGAAGGAAATTTTCTTTGTTAGTTACCAGGGGTGGGAGGGGAGGGGAGGGAACACTGTTAGGTAGGTAGAGTTAAGTATTGATGTGGGTGAAGGGTATGTACCAAATGTGAGTGATCAACATGGTGGCATTGAGGAAGAGGAAGACAGAGAGAGGTACATGGGAGGTACAGAAAACAAAGATGAACCCTTTCGCACATATAGTACTGCACTGTCAGTGAAGGCAAACTTAGGTATATGGGTGGATAGATGGGTGGACAGGCTGAACTATTAGGTATGTCTATGAAGTGGGGAGTGTACCCAAGACCATGTATAGGTTTGGCAGGCAATGGTCCTATAAGTGTATTTGTATGATCTGAATTCCCAGGTGTATAGGAGAGCTGACAAGGGACAAAGTTGTAGTCACTTCTTGGTCACAGCCAGCTACCCAGAGGGACCAAGGAGTTGAACTTGTGGGCTCAGGATCATAGTCAAAGGGGACATCAAGCTCAATTGGCATAACATACAACACAAAACATTGTTCCACCTCCTACTTTGGCGAGCAGCAACTGGGATCTTAAAAGCTAGCAAGCTGCCATCTAGATGCAACGATGGGTCTCTCCTCGTTCAGAGCAAAGAAGAATGAAGAGAACCAAAGATTCATGGAAACAATTAGTCCTAATGACTGGTACACCATGAGATCTGCAACCTATACAACTATGAGACCAGAAGAACTAGATGGTGCCTGAGCTACCACTGTCAACCACTCAGAGGGGATCTATGTAAGAGATCCTGGATAGAGAGGGAGAACAATGTGGAACAAAACTCAAAATCATTTGGAAAAAAAGGGGAGGGTCAGGTTTACTGGTCTGATAGAGCCTGGTGGAACCACTGAGACTATGCCCTTAGCTGCCCTTCAGGTCTGGAATTGAACCCATACCTGTGGCTTCCAGACAAACAAAAGACAGGCATATGAGTTGGACATTTACCTGAGGTAAACATACTCCTTGGAGAGAACAATCATGGGAGAAAGAAGGGCTGCTTATGCACAGGGAGACAGCTCAGGGGGCAGGAGTGCATGGAGGGATGGACACAGGGAAGAGGTAGCTATTGGGACGAAGTGGAAGGGAAGCTGTTGCATTGGACTAAATTGTAGTCAATATCATGAGACAAAGTGTATGTAAACTGTTGTATGGAAAGTGAATTTGCTCTGTAAATCTTCACCCAAATCACAATTAGAAAAAAAGAAAGAAAGAGTCAGAGATATTCAGGGGAAACTGAAATAGCATACCCATGCTGCTAGAGAGCCTGGAAATCACCACCAGCTTCTAAAGGTTTACACTTGAGCAATTCCCAAACTGTCTTCTTGACACTGTGCATGAACCTAAGACACTTCCTTCCATATCATTAATATGTACATAATGAAAACAAACTAATTTTACTACCACCCAAGTAAAATTCTCATTGTAGAATAAATCTGTGTCTCCTACAATTAAAACAGACTCCTAACTGGTATCCCCATTTCTACCCTTGACTGCCTAGCACAGCCAGAGTGATCCTGTTGAAATATTCAGAACCTATTACTCCTCTGCTCAAAACCCCCAAGGTTTCACAATTTCCCAACTCACTCAGAAGAAAAGTCAAAGTTCTTACAATGATGGATAAGCACCTATGTAATCTACCATTCCCCAACCTCTCTGACCTCATATGGGGCCAGTCTCCCCCACGCTTATTCTGTTTCAGCCACACTGGCCTCCTCCAGGTCCCTTTTATGAACCTTTGCTGTTTCCTCTATCTCAAATGCTCTTTCCCCTGATAGCTACTTGGTTGGCTTTCTTACTTCCTTTAGAGGTTTACTTAAATGTCATTTTCTTAAAGAGGGTTTCCCTGGCCACCCTATTTAAAATTGCAACACACCACCATGACCACCACCACCACCACCACCCATACTTCTTATATCCCTTTCTTGCTTTATTATTTTCCCCCAAGTGGTACCTCTTTTCTCTTTCATCTGCTTTATTTTTCTGCTTTGCACTTATCACTATAACATACTATATATTCTACTTTCTTATTTTGTTTGTCTATCATATGGGCAGGTGGTTTTATCTACTTTGTATACTGCAGTATCAGTAGCCTCTACAACAGTGCTGACACAGTAGGTGTTCAATAAATATTTGTTGAATGAATGAATACACTACTTTTGTAAAACAAAATATAGAATAATTAGAAGATTATGTGTAATAACTCCTCCCACCCACACCCAATATTAGTGCCCAATTCCAATGTAAAGGGTGTTGCCCCTACTTTGGGAAGCAATAGAAGGGCAAAGAAGGGTTAAGGGAATTGTTTTCACTGAGGCTTATTATATGACAGAAACTTTGCATTCATTATTAACTTTAATTCATTATCAATTCTCAATTACAGGTAATTCTCAATTACCAATAACATAAATATCATTCTTATTTTATAGGAGAGGAAACTAAGGCTCAAACAAATTAGATGACCTGCTTTAGGCTCTAAGCTAATGGCCAGGATGTCACTCTAGGTCCTCTGACTGCAAAGGCCCTGCTCATTCTACTAAACCACTGGTGATCAGTTCTGGCTGCTCATCAAAACCATTTGCAGAGGTCTGGATTGTTTCTATTTGTTTTTCATCAAGACTGACTATATCAATTTCCAAGGTGTAGCATGACACCAAGATGAATCTGAAGGAACATATCTTTAAGAACTATCACATTATGCAAACATAGAAGACAAGGAAAGAGCAATACCTATTGAGTCTGGCCTCCAAGTGGCTGCTGACATACTCAGAAGGGAAGATGGTATGTTCAAACACAGAAAAACTGGGTACATGATTCACTGTCAGTGCCAATTCTGTCAAGCTGAGGTGTAGCTTGTCCATGCTGGGTAAAAATGGGAAAGTAAAATGAACCTTGATTACAGGCCTGGCACTGCCAACTAGTATCTGGGCAGGATTTTAGTACTGGGCAAAATTTGTCAGACCCATGACCCTCACTCAGGCTCTTTTCATTGTCTAGGGATACTCAGCCTAGAGTAGTACACTTTGACGCTGACTTCAAATGCAAAGTAGAAAATTTGCATTTCAGTGTTCTTCCATATCTGGTCATTCCCCCACCACCATCATTTTCACTTTTTTTTTTTTTTTTTTTTGCCATCCCTCTTCCCTATTCTCCCTTCACCAGATCCTCACGTGGTAACAATGCTGCGGTTCTTCCGGTGACTCTCAGCTCCTGGCTTGTCCCTCTCAGGCTCACCCTTTCTGGGAATCTGCCTCTGCTTCATGGTTTTCTTGTTCTTGGCCTTGCTGATGGTAGTGGCACAATGCTTAGGTAGAAGCTTTAGAAACAGACACAGATGAGTAGAGAAACAAGATTAGTTTCTAAACAGCAGAGAATCCCATCTAATTGTTATAAATGCAAGGTCTGTACGTTATTGTCCTTTTATCTTTCAGTCTTTTTCTCTCTCTTTCCTTCCATGCGTCTCTTTCTCTAATGGAGGCCTGTTTGTAATGTGCTCACTTCTCTTAGTTTTCATTAAATACCTCACCATTATAGGTTCAAGGTCTCAAGGTGGCAGTGCCTTTTAGGGATCAACTCCCCACCCACATGCTGAGTGTCTTTCCAAATGGAAGAATGGAAGTTAAAAAAATAATAATAAGACCCAAAAACTCCACGCAGTTGCACTTTCTAGGGTCTTCCAACCTGGGAAAACAGTCATTTTTGCTAGTATGGAACAACCATCACCCTTGCTACATTCCTTCATAGCCTATCCCATGGAGGTAGTTGCCCACACTACCACAGCCGTCCAAAGATACAGAGCTCACAGCATGACCTGCACTCTGTCCCTATCTATTCTTTTCTTGAAATAAGATATTGTATTTCTTGCTAGTTAGCTTGAGCATCAACCCTGCTTTTCTTCTCGTCACTGAGATACCTTAGCTACCCTACAGAAAGTATAAGATAAAAATGTAAATATTCAGGTATTTCCTTCAAGAATTCTCTCCATTTATTCCAATGCTGCTGCCAACCTGCTGAGTGTACCTGAAAACTCCTCATTTGGAATTGCTTTTAGAGCAACAGAGGAGACACACAAGAAAGCTAGTTGTGTTATTTTCTAGTTATATTTTGTTTTTCAAAATCCAAACTCTTGCCTATTTCAAAATATCAAGTCTACCTTGAAAGACAAAGGTGTGTCAATCCTGAGATAATTCAAAGGTGTCGGTGGTACACAAAAGGACAAATGTTGTATGTTTCCACTTATATGAACTATCTAGAATAAGGAAATGCATAATGTTTATTAAAGGTCAGCAATGGCTGTAGGGAGGAAAGAACTAGGAGTTGTTTCTTAAGGAATACTGAGTTTCTGTTTGAGGTGATGAAAAACTTCTGGACATAGTAATGGTGATGGTTGTACAAAGTAAATATAATTAATGTCACTGAATTATATGCTTTAAAATGGCAAATTCTTCATATATATATCCATTGCCATCAAGTTGATTCAGACTCATAGCAACCCCATAGGACAGAGTAGAATTGTCCTAGAGGGTTTCCAAGGCTGTAAATCTTTACAGAAGCAGACAGCCACATCTTTCTCCCATGGAGCAGCTGGTGAGTTCAAACGGCCAACTTTTCACTTAGTAGCCAAACGCTTAACCACTGCACCATCAGAGCTCCTGTGTGTGTATATGTATACATATATATGTTTGTATATATCCTCAATAAATTTTTTAAGTGTCTGTGGTAGATTCTGAAAGCAGTTCCAAAAATTTTAACTCCAGTAGTAATGGCAACATCACTAATGTAATTATTTATCAAAATGATAACTCTGGATGGGTCAACACTTATTTGATTGTAAATGTTCTGGTGTGTGTGAGAATAATTACTCCCATCATGTTTTAGTTATCCCTGATACAGCACTTAACAATGCCCCTTGCATGTAGTAGCTATTCAAATTGAGTGATGAATATACACATTGTACTTATTCACATATCTTCCTCACATTAATTGTTTAAATGTCTTTCATACATGTTCTTTGTACTCTCTTCCCCATTTGACTGGAACATTCCCTGAGGGCAAGGATTGTGTACTTTCCTTCTGAGACCTCACCCCAAAAATCCAACACAGGGCTTAGTGCCCAGTAAATATCAAATGATATAGAGCTGATATTTATTGATTACTGTATATCAAAGAATTTATGTACTCTATTTCATTTAATTCTTATAACACCTCTATGAAGAAAGTGTGTTTATCCCAGTTTACAGACGAGAAGACAGAAAGTTAAGTAATAATTAACTATGCATACATATCAGTTTGTCGTACTGTGGTGGCTTGTGTGTTGCTGTAAGGCTGGAAGATCACCAGCAAGATCACCCATGGTGGACAGATTTCAGTGGAGCTTCCAGACTAAGACAGGTTGGGAAGAAGGAAGGGCCATCCACTTCTCAAAGAATTAGCCAGTTAAACCCTTATAAATAGCAGTGAAACATTGTCTGATATATTACTCATAAATTTTATGAATAGCCCTGAAACAGGCTATTTTATGAAACAGCCCTGAAATAGTCTGACATAGTGAGAGTAGAGGAGTCCCTCCGGGCAGAAGGCACTTAAAGTACAACTAGGGAAGAGATGCTTCTTCAAAGTAGAGTTGATGTTAATGATTGTACAGAGTAAAGCTTTCAAGACCTTCATTTGCTGATGAAGCATGACTCAAAATGGGAAGAAACATCTGCAAACATCTATTAATAATCAGAATATGGAATAAACAAAGTATGAATGTAGGAAAATTGGAAGTTGTCAAAAATGAAGTTACATGCATAAAGATTGATATCTTAGGCATTAGCGAGCTAAAAATAGACTGGTTTTGGCCATTTTGAATCAGACAATCATATGATCCACAACACCAGGAATGATAAATTGAAGAGGAATGGCATCACATTCAGCATCACAAAGAACGTTTTAAGACCTATCCTGAAATATAATGCTGTCAGTGATAAGGTAATATCTATACACCTACAAGGAAGACCAGTTAATACTATTTTTTTTCAAATTTACGCACCAACCACTAAAGCCAAAGATGAGGAAATTAAAGATTTTACCAACTTCTGCCATCTGAAATTGATCAAACATGCAATCAAGATGTATTGATTATTACTGATGAATGGTATGACAAAGTTGGAAACAAAAAAGAGTCACTGTTAGTTGAAAAACATAGTGTTAGTGATAGAAATGACACCAGAAATCACATGATAGAACTTTTCAAAACCAACAACTTATGTATTGCAAATACCTTTTTCCGATAATATAAACAGTGGCTATACACATGGACCTCACCAGTTGGAATACAGAGGAATCAGACCGACTACACGTGTGGAAAGAGGCGATGGAGAAGCTCAATATCTTCAGCCAGAACAAAGCCAGAAGCTGACTATGGAAGAGACCATCCATTGCTCATATGCCAGTTCAAGTTGAAATTGAAGGAAATTAAAGCAAGTTCAGAAAAGCCAAAATATGACGTCGATTATATCCTACCTGAATTTAGAAGCCATCTGAAGAATAGATTTGACGCATTATACACTAATGACCAAAAACCAGATGAATTTTGGGATGACCTCAAGAACATCATACCGGAAGAAAACAAAGGTCATTAAAACAACAGGAAATGAAGAAAAGACCAAAATGGATGTCAGAAGAGACTCTGAAACTTGCTCTTGAATGGAGAGTAGTTAAAGCAAATGGAAGAAATGACAAGATAAAAGAGATGAACACAAGATTTCAAAGAACAGGTGGAGAAGACAAAGCCAATTATAATAAAATGTGCAAAGATCTGGAGTTAGAAAACCAAAAGGGAAGAACACACTCAGCATTTCTCAAGGTGAAAGAACTGAAGAAAAAATTCAAGCCTTGAACTGCAATATTGAAAGATTCAATGGGAAAAATATTGAATGATGTAGGAAGCATCAAAAGAACATGGACAGGAGTTCCGGCAAGATGGCGGACTAGGCAGAAGGACAGCACAGACCCTCTTCAACAAAGAAAAGGGAAACCAATAAACACAGACACAGAAGATAATCTTGGACCCCTGAGGCTTGAAGGGAAGGATACTGAAGTGGACTAAACCCCAACTAGCAGAAGAATTTGCGTGAAAATACCAAAAAAAGGAGACATATGGAGCTGCGGTCTGGACAGCGACCCTGACGGTACAGGTGGCTTAGAGATTCCCGACTGGTGGTAGGACTTAAGAATTAACCTAAAAATCACCCTGCTAGCCAGGGACTGCACGGACTGTGCACAGTGGCTGGGGAACAAACAGAGAAGGTGAAGAGAAAG